CCAACTCCGAGACTCTTCTCTTTTCTTCACCTATACTTGAGTTTGAACTTGGCTCAAATAATCCAGCATCTGGACTGGTTATGTCCAGGTCCGTAACAATTGGCTTTTCGTTACTGATATAGGAGGACATTTAATCTACTTGTGTCTAACGATCCTAACTTATAAAAGCGTTGAAGTGCTACTACAATTCAAAATCCAATCTCAACGATGATATTCATTGATTATTTATACGACTCAACCCCCACCTTTTGATCATCTATTTCTGCTATCGATTTTGCAATTGTAGTTTGTTGTGAAAGGAGTTTTTTTTTTTTTCAGGATTAATGCACTGGTTATGAGTGGGCACTACTAGAGCTTTAACTTGACCCAATTAGTTGCGAATTTCCAAATGGATGAATGCATTTCAGGTATATATTCCATTTGAATAGAACGGAATATTCACATACTATTGCAACTAAAACACATTGCATTGGTAATACCATGCTATACAATATAAAGAGTATCAAGTCTTGTTTGTTTCGACTTCAAATATTAAAATCATGTCAAAAAGGCTGAACCGTACGGAATATCCATAGGCGCACTTTTTTTACGGTTTTCCGGCAGAATCCGCCTGCGGTACAATTGGTTTATTTTTTGGGGTGCCTTTATTCGGAACACAATAGCATGCCTTAATATCCACATTGACAAGATATTTCGAACGTAAATAATCTGAAAGAGACATAGCACCAGCAGCATTGATTGCTATTTTCCAAAGAGAACACTAGTTGTGCCACACATTGATTAACAGTGTTAATTATACTGTATATCACAAGGTGTATATCGTAATATGATTGCTGGTTATCAGGCTAGTTAGCTTGTTGAAAGTTTTTATGGAATAAAAGGGAAAATATTTTTTGCGAAGCCTTTCTACCCCACGGAGGTACAGCACAATGGCGGTGAATTTAGCCCCGACGTTTTTAATAAAAAAGACTCAGAATCCCCGAAAAGTAGATTCGTGTGCATACACTCTTTGCCTATATTTCAAGAACTTTATCATATTATAGAAGAATTATAAAATTAAAGTACGTCAAAATTCATGAAGAATTAAAAGCATTATATGTTCAAAATGCATACGCAAACTACTCGATATGAGCAGTTTCGGTCTTATTGTTCCAATCAGGATTGGTAACAGCCAATCTCTTTTGGTGCTCATATAATGGAGGTAATGGATCGATATGGCGACGTAAGACGACTCTTTGGATACCATTTAAGAAATTCTTTGTCTGCCAAGCAGCATGCTTTCTGGTACTGACGGAGAAGACTTCGTCCAATTCTTCCAAAGTCAAACCCTTTGTTTCGGGTAAGAACCATAAAACCATGAAAAAACCAGCAAAATTCCATGCTGCATACCACATGAATGCCCCAGTCCTACCAAACGAACTGACTATCTTTGGCCACGTAAATGCTAAAATGAAATTGAAGAACCAACAAGTGGCAGTAGCGAAACCCATTCCAAGATCACGAATGTACAATGGGAAGGCTTCAGCGGAGTAGGTAAATGGAACAGGACCTTCACCAGCAGAATAGATAGCTGAAAAAATGTAAACACCACTTGCCACAATACCAGTTTGAACCTGGGTGTGATCATCAGCTATGAAACCTAAACCAGTCCAGATTAACATAAGTCCCATAAGTGGGAAAGTGAATAATAACAAATTACGTCTACCGAAAGTATCAATGGTAT